ACTGAAAATATGTCTTAATTAGTCCCTGTACTCTGTGGCACAATATCCTCAGGGAGAAGGAACTGTTGTTTTCCAGAGAAAAAATGTCTTAAAAAGACAAGGTCTTTGTGGGCTGCCTTTTGTTTTGTTGATGGTTTCCTTTGCTGTACAGAAGCTTTTTATTTTGGTGTAGTCCCAGTAGCTTAATTTTGCTTTTGTTTCCCTTGCCTCAGGAGACATATCTAGAAAAATGTTTCTACAGCCAATGTCAAAGAAATTATCGCCTATGTTTTCTTCTAGGAGTTTTATGGTTTCAGGTCTCACATTGAGGTCTTTCAACCATTTTGAGTCTATTTTTGTGTGTGGTGTAAGGAAATGGTCCAGTTTCATTCTTCTGCGTGTGGCTGTCCAGTTGTCCCAACACCATTTGTTGGAGACTCTTTTTTTCCATTGGATATTCTTTCCTACTTTGGCGAAGATTAGTCATGGGTTTATTTCTGGCCTGTATTATGTTTCATTGATCTATATGTCTGTTTTTGTGCCAGGACCGTATAGTTCTGATTACTACAGCTTTGTAGTATATCTTGAAATCTGGGATTGTTATACCTCCAGCTTTGTTCTTCTTTCTCGAGATTGCTTTGGCTATCTGTGGTTCCATACATATTTTAATATTATTTGTTCTAGTGCTGTGGAAAATGCTGCTGGTGTTTTGATAGGGATTGCATTAAATATATAGATTGCTTTGGGTAGTATGGACATTTTAAAAATACCGGTTCTTCCAATCTATAAGCACAGAATATCTCCATTTGTTTGTGTCATCTTCAGTTTATTTCATCAGTGTTTTATAGACTTGGGAGTACAGTTCTTTCACCATCTTGATTAAGTTTATTCCTAGGTATTTAATTATTTTTGACACAGTTGTAAGTGGGATTGTTAATTTCTCTTTCTGCTACTTCATAATATTAGTGTATAGAAACACAACAGATTTCCGTATATTAACTTTGTATCCTGTGACTTTACTGAATTCATTTATTAGAAGATATTTGCCAAAGACATATTTGATAAGGGGTTAATATCCAAAATATGTAAGGAACTTATACAACTCAACACCAAAATAATAATAATAATAATAATCTGACCAAAAAAATGGGCAGAGGATCTGAATAGACATTTTTTTCCAAAGAAGACATCCAGATGGCCAACAGACACATGAAAAGATGCTCAGCATCACTCATCATTAGGGAAATGCAAATCAAAAGCACAATGAGGTAATCACCTTACACCTGTCAGAATGGCTAGAATAAAAAACACAAGACAGAACAAGTACTGGTGGGGTGTGGAGAAAAAGAGTCCTCGTGCACTGTTGGTGGGAATGCAAGCTGGTGCAGCCACTGTGGAAACAGTATGGAGGTTCCTCCAAAAATTAAAAATAGAATTAACTCTATGACCCAGTAATTCCACTTCTGGGTATTTACCCAAAGAAAATGAAAGCAATAATTCGAAAAGATATATGCACCCTTATGTTTATTGCAGCATTATTTATGATAGCCAAATCATGGAAGCAACCAAATGTCCATCCATAGATGAGTGGATAAAGAAGATGTGGTATATATACAATGGAATATCATTTAGCCGTTAAAAAAGAATGAGATCTTGCCATTTGCAACAAGATGGATGGACCTAGAGATTATAATGCTGAGTGAAATAAGTCAGAGAAAGACAAATACCATATGATTTCACTCATATGTGGAAGAAACAAAACAAATGAACAAACAAAGAAAAATGAGACAAGCAAAAGAACCCCAGCGGACTCTTAAATACAGAGAACAAACTGGTGGTTGCCAGAGGGGAGGTTGAGGGAGATGGGGGAAATAGGTGATGGGGATTAAGAGTACACTTATCGGGGCGCCTGGGTGGCTCAGTCAGTTAAGTGTCTGCCTTTGGCTCAGGTCATGATCCCAGGGTCCCAAGATCGAGCCCCGAATCAGGCTCCCTGCTTGGCGGGGAGCCTGCTTCTCCGTCTGCCCCTCACCCCACTCGTGCTCGCACTTTCTTTCTCTCTCTCAGTGTCTGTCTCTCTCTCTCAAATAAATAAAATCTTTTAAAAAAATTACACTGATGAACACTGAGTATTGTACAGAATTGTTGAATCACTATATATTGTGTACTTGAAATTAATGCAACAGTGTATGTTAATTATACTTCAACTGCAAAAGAAGAAGAAAAAAAAGACAAGGTCTTTGTGAAGAAGCAACACTTTTGAGGCTTCTAGATTGAGATAGAAGAAAGACCACGTAGGACTGTGGAGCTAATATAATACAAAGCATCCATGTGAAATGAAGAGCTTTCCTGAAGGATACTTAGGAAGTTGAGGTGCCCTGAGATTCATTCCATGCACTTTGCTACAGCACATGGCTGTTACAGAGAGGTGCTCTCAGGGCACCTCAGTTAGCTCGAAGGATCCAGGCACAAATAATCACACCAAAACACAAGATATCTCCATGTACGTAGTCACCCACATACACACTCTTCTCCCGCACACATTGTTCTAGGGGATGGAGTTTAGTAAGACTTAAAAATTACAAGATCATTCCAACAGATTGGTGATGGTGTTTCCACAGTTCTGCTCATTCCCTTGTGGAGCATTTGTTTATTGCATCATAAGTAGTTTTAGTTATGATAGTAGATCGAGAACTTCTCAAGGGCAGGACTGTTGAGGTCCCAGGTAGAGCATCTGGCATATAGGAAGTTGCTTGCATGGTTTTTGTTTGTTGAAGGAAGTAATGAATACGAGGAGTGGAGCCGTGGAGGAGCATCGCAGAACCCAGTCTGCTTTGCCTTTTTGGGAAGCCTCAGCTGGTGAATGAAGAGTGAAGGTCCAAGGGATCTCTGTTTTAGTCCTTGAAAGCAGAAAATGCTTCAAATGGATTTTAAAATGCCTTCAAAGATGTTACTAGAAAAACAAGAATGCTTTTTATCCAGGCTCAGCGGGTAACCCTCTCCTGATTCCAGGATACATTTTTTCCAGCTACACATGCAATTTTAAAGCACCATTTTTTGGGTGCTTGGCGCTGTGTGTGCTTTTATCCTACCCTGGCAAAGGAAGTTAAAGCATTGTCTGGCAGGTTTGCAAAAGAGCTCTTTTAAAAAGGACAGAGAATTTTGTTGTCAGTAGATTCCGTCTGCGGGGCCTGGGTCTGTGAGGGAGCTCTCGGTTTGAAGCACGTTGTGACACGCTGCGCTTCTTGTTCCTGGTCTCTTGTCTGTGTCTGAGAGCTCTGCCATCAAACTGGGTTTCAGAGGCAGCTCTTAACTTTCTTCCATGGGAAAGAAATAGATTTGCGGAACCAAGCCTGTGACCAGGATGAGCCTTGCATGCCTCTAGCCTTGGGTCAATATCATCTTCCCTGATAGTTCTTCCATCTGGAATTCTCTTCTTCCTCCTCTCTTCCTCTCCCCCATCCATCCTTCAGGCCTTGACCAGTCCAGCTGATAGGATTTGCTGTGCTTTCTGAATTCTGTGTGCTTGTTATCTGTGCCACAAGGTGTCATGATTTTATTTGAGCTCATTTTATTTCCCAAGTTTTTGAGCACAAGAACTGTATCTCCTACATCTTTGGCTTTCTCCCAGCAACCCCAGCTAGGCAGTCACTCCTTTTTGATGGCATTATAAAAAGCACTGAATAAATTGGCCTCTGCAGTTAGAGCTCAGGGACTTCTGGAAAGCTGTGATGTGTTGTTTGGGAGGTTAAGGAAAGTAGCGAATAGAGAGACAAAAGGAATGAAAAAGGAAGGACATGCAAAATGTCAGAATGTCACAATATATCATCCCACCAGTAGAACCTTTCATTAACTCGCTTCCAGAAAACTGTTTAAACTGTGCACACACACACATATGTATACACATACGTGTACACATAAACGCATGTATACGCACATATATTTACATACACGCACACATTCACACACACATAGCTATACAGAATTTATGCACATATTACGCGTGTATATGTGGCAAACCCTCAGCAGAGTATCTTACCAGGTTAGCTTAGGTGTTACCATTTAGAGCACAGGACATGGACAAATAAATCAGCTTTGGTGGAGAAAGCGAGTCTGGACCAGTCCAGAGCCAGAGGCCTGACCCCTAGAAGGGCTGTCGGGGCCCTAGAGTGTGAGGTGCCAGGCGCCTGGGATAATCGGTCATGGAGAGGAGAAATGGGGAAGCAGTGAAGGTGATTGTGGGAAGGGCGAGATACCCTAACTGTGCTTCTGCCTTGTCACTCCCTTCAGGTGTTAAGAAGGGTTTTTGGAGCTCTACATGAAAGAAGGTCTTTTTGCCTTTGTTCATTCAGTCTTTAAGACTATTTGTGTTTGGCACACACAGGAAAAGTCAGAGACAAGGATTCTAGTCCCACCCTCTCTGGACTTTAGCTTTCTTATCCATAAAATGGAATTTATGTCTTCTGTCATTCATAGACTCCTTCTGGCAAAGAGGGGGAAGGACCCAGTGCCCTTTCCATGACACTAGGTGGCTCCAGGGGCTAAGCCTGTGGTAGATTGGACCTGTGGCCTCATGCATCTGAGTTTTCATTCACTAGATCTGCTAGTTTACATTTCATTGTTTTCTTGGGAAGATAAATACAAACACAGGTAATTGTGATGGCCAACCAGAAATGTCCTGGTGTCCCACCTCTGCTTTTCTTGGCAGTTCACTCAGTTTACTTCAAGAATCTTTTGCACTGGGGTGCCTGGGCAGCTCAGGTGGTTAAGTGTTCAGCTCAGGTCATGATCTCGGGGTCCTGGGATCGAGCCCTGCATTGGGCTCCCTGCAAGGCAGGGAGTCTGCTTCTCCCTCACCTTCTGCTCCTCCCTCCTGCTCATGCTCTCTCTTTCTCTCTCTGAAAAAAAAAAAGAAAGAAAGAAAGAGAAAAGAACCTTTTGCTCTTTACAAAATAGGTGTATGTTTGGACCTTGCCTGTTACAGTGAAAACGACCAGACATACATGTGTTTTGTTTTCTAGGGAGATGTGCATCCAACAGGATGGGAGAATTCATCTCACCGTTGTTTATTTTGGGAAGGAAGAAATGAATGAGGTCAAAGGAATACTTGAAAACACTTCCAAGTAAGTACGACGAGGAGACGTAATAAGGAGTCATAGTATCTGACCTCAGGAGTCTATATCTGAGGCTGGAACTTCTGCTTCGGTTTTATGTTCCTTAACACTCTGGGTCAACTGGGAGATGGACTGGTTGCTGGCTGTGCCAGGGGGCATTGTGTACCCCCGTCCCTGGGAGACCACCCCACCTGACACTGGTCCTCACTGCACAGGGTGTTGGCTTTGGCAGTTGAGATGAAATGCCCTGAGCTGCAAGGATTGGGGGGGTGGGGGCACAGGCCTCTTTGGGCTTCTGCGTGAGAGGGTGTCGTCAGCACTGCCGATGTGGGGACCTGGTGTTCACAGAGTGGGAATTAGGGGCCGCGCAGCTGCGCAGTGAGCTCCAGCTAAGTGGTGTCCGTCCTGGGGTTTCCTCCACTTAGCAAATGGTCTTACCCTTTTGACTTTCATTCATTATGCATTTTGAAAGATTAGGGGGAAGCCAGAAGTGATGGCTAGGACAGGATCCTGGATGAAACCTACTCAGTTGAACAGAAATGATTTAACCAAAAACCTTAGACTGAGGGTTGTATGTGTATATACGTCATTGATCAGTTGTACGGGGGAATAAATGAAAGCAGCGCAGGTGGGTTTTCTTCCCTCCCCAAATAAATAAACAAGTATTAATTTAATAAATACCTGGGGCATCTTCTACTAGTGAGGAAGCCAGAATGGTGCCCCACACCATGCTCTGGTTTTCCAGGGAGGTTTGTAGGGCTTCACTTGAGTCATCAGGTGGGTAGTTTCTCCTTAGTGAAGCTTGGAGGGAGGTCAGTAGTACTCAGTGGCAGAAATAGCCTCAAAAGGTCCATATGGTCTAAATATAAACAGGGCCCCTGTTTTGAGTTTCTGGTAAATGGTTATAAGATTACAAGATTGACTGCCCCTTTTGTATTTATGTTCACACTTTGTTACTAAGTTGGTATTAATGGGCACAAGATCAGAATGCTTATTACAATTACTCAAACGTTCTAAAGCAGTCCACTGGTCTTATTTCTGTAAAAAAAGAAAAAGTTGTATTGAAATGCAGGCATCCTCATTTCTTTACATATTATTTATATCTGCTTTTGTGCTGCAGCAGAGTTGTGTAGTTGTGACAGAAACTGTATGACTGGGGCGCCTGGGTGGCTCAGTCGTTAAGCGTCTGCCTTCGGCTCAGGTCATGACCCCAGGGTCCTGGGATGGAGCCCCGCATCGGGCTCCCTGCTCCGCGGGAAGCCTGCTTCTCCCTCTCCCAACCCCCCTGCTTGTGTTCCCTCTCTCGCTGTGTCTCTCTCTGTCAAATAAATAAATAAAATCTTAAAAAAAAAAAAAAAAAAAAGGAGAGAAACTCTATGACTTGCAAAGCCCGAACTCTCTACCGTCTGGTCCTTTACAGAAAAGGTTTGCTGACCTCTGTTCTAAAGCAATATGGAATTCGGAGTTTATAGGCCCCTGTCGAAGGGAGATCAAAGAGAATAGAATAATTGAATATCCTAAATGTAAGTGAAATAGAAACCTCTCAACTCCAGAGCATTGCAATATCCCTTTTGTCTCTGCTTAGGAACGAGGCCCAGGAATTATTAGAGTTCATGTCCTCTGCCCAGTGGATAGGTTCCATCATCTCTGGAAGTATCCATTCCTGGGCATGGATTTCTTTTTTAAGTTTCCCAGATGGTTCTAACATGCAGCCAGGATTGAGGGTCATTGTCTGAGAAAGTGGTAGTCCACCCCAGGGGCTCAGGCATGAGAGGCCTCGACTGCAGCCAGCTGCCCCATTCTGAGGTGTTTTTGAGTAGTTATCCAGGTGACTCTGAAGTGTAGTCAGGACTGAGAAATTCAGTCCTATTGGGTCTGGCACCTTCTGAGCACTTTAAAGGACATTTGCTGATGGACATGAGTCTGATGGATAAGTGGAAGGCCAGTTTCAATGTTGTTATGAGAAATATCCATTTTACTGACTGGAAGGCTTAAGGACTCTTACTATCAAGGCATTCTTCTCTGTATCAAATTACTGGGCGAGCTGAATTCTCAAGCAGAAGGTTGCTTGGTGAGCAAAGAATGAATAGAATCTGAACAAGAGAAGTAGAATCATTTCAGTGGTAAGAATGGTTTACTTAAAATTTTGGAAAATTTCCAGAGATCAGTCTACCCATAACCAAGAACTTCGTGTCGGAGACTGAGCTGTTCAATGCTTTAACGCAGTGCTACAAAAAACTCTGGTGAAATGAATTAGAACCCCGTTTTTCTGTGTCGATGCTCTCATTCTGCTAACTGGGGATATCTGCAGTGCTGAGGTCTCTGATGCTTTGGGGGGTGTCCTCCGCCCTCCCTGGTGTTGCTCTGATCAGACCACCTCCTGCAGGAATGCCCCACCCTCTGCAGCCAGGCCTGGGCTGACTGAACACAGCAGCACTGCCGCTCCACCTTCCAGATCAGTCTTCCTAATCACCTACTGCCCTAGGCTCCTACCCAGACTGGCTCTCACTTGTAACCTTGCCTTGATGACTTCCTGTCCCCGACCACACTGGGGGGCGTGGTTTGCCCCTTCGTCCTCCCTCCCATTATCGTCTTCTACTTGGTGATCTCTTGTCCTCCTTTCTACGTACTCAGACCGCCACCCTTTCGTCCCCACGCCCCCACCTGACCTCCAGTCCTCTCTCGGAACTCAGACCGTGCTCCCTGCTGGCATCCCGTCTGCTGGGCACTTGGCATATGATTTGGCTATATGATCAGCACTGCCGATTTCGGGATTTATAAGCCGATTTATAAGCTGCTTAGTAAGCAAGTAGTACCATATCACGTGGCTCTTTGTAACTCCAGCTTAGGGCCTTACTCAGAAAACGTCCAGTGTTTGTTCCTCAGGAGAAGAGCACCTGAATGGCACAGTCGGTTAAGCATTCAACTCTTGGTTCTGGCTCAGGTCATGATCTCAGGGTCCTGGGATGGAGCCCCACGCTGGGCTCCTTGCTCAGCGGGGAGTCTGCTTAAGATTCTCTTTCTCCTTCCCCTCTGGCCTTCCCACTCATGCGGTCTCTCTCTCTCTAATAAATAAAATCTTTAAAAAAAGAGGAGGATAATTCCACATACACAGTATATTTATGCTCCTAGTAATCCATATGAACACTTATATAATGAGCCCTATTTAAATGTCATTTTTATCATTCTTTTAAGGTGGTAAAACTTTTGTTCAAATGCATCTTATCTTTGAATAATAATAGTAACTATTCTTATTTACATGAATTATCTTATTTATTATTCACAGCAACCTTATGAGATAGATGCTATTATTAGCCCCATTCATCGATGAAGGAGCTGAGGCCTGGAGACGTTGTTGCTCAGGCTGCCGTCCCCAGCACAGGGGCGAGCCAGGATCTGAACCTCAGCTGTGAACTTGAGATACTCCAGGTCTTAACATGGCACATTTCCTCTTCAGTGTACTCCCTTCTGAAACTCATAATTGTCAGTTGAAAGTAATAAGATTTGAAATCAGCCTAAGTGATATTTACTTCATTAGGGTACCAGCATTGTGATTAATCTGTTCGAAATGCAGCTAAATGTATATATGTTAGGAATAGCTTTTTAAAATCTAGTTTGGCTCATGTGCAGTGTTTTCCTCTCTCTGTCTCTAGATTTACGTTTACTCAGTTGAGCTTTACATTTCAGATGATGGCTATAGATCAGTGTTTTGGAAATTGCAATTTGTGATTCATTAGAGGGTTGTGTAATAGCTTTAGTGGGTTATGTCCAGTGTTTTTAAAAACATTGAAATAGAATAGGCTAGAAGATATCAGAGTGCATTACAAGTAGTAAGGGTAAATACTGTTTTGTAAAACTTTAGTATGTGTTTGTGTCTAGTATGTCATGATGTATAATATATTCCTTTGTATGGGTGGCAGTCAAAATATTTAGAAACCACTGCCATGGATAAAAGTACAAATCAGTTCTTGGTATCTGATTCTTATTCCATAGTTTTCCATACTAAGCTGCAGTTAATCTCAGATTAAAGCCTCACTTGGTGATTCTCAAATATAAATGTGCTTGGGAATAACCTGGGGTGCTTTTTTTAAAAAATTTTTATTTGAGAGAGACAGAGATAGAGAGAGCACAAGCGGGAAGGAGGGGGAGAAGCAGACTCCCTGCTGAGCAGGGAGCCTGATGTGGGACTCAATCCCAGGACCCTGGGATCATGACCTGAGCCGAAGGCAGATGCTTAACCGACTGAGCCACCCAGGTACCCCCTGGGGTGCTTTTTAAAATGCAGATTCCTGGGATCCAGGTCCAGAAAATCTGAGTCAGTAGGCCTGAGATGTAGAAGCTTGGTAACTGACACTTAGGATGAGGCCCACATGTGATGGTGATGTGGGTGGTCCATAGCCCACAGTGAGAAATGCTGACCTAGGTAGACATTTGCTTGGAGCTATGTATTAGGAAATTTTAAAAAAATTGTAACAGGTAGGCAGATTGGCATGAGTTAACATTTACTATATTGCAACTTCATCTTTGTCCAATCATAAGGATACAAAGGCATCTTTCAGAGGTATTACCTCTGAGATCAAAGTACTAGAGATGAGACCCTACCCTGTCATTGCAAGTATGTGACCTAAGAGAGGGGTTTTTCTGTATGTTTTCTTGGGGACCTGCCTTTGTTAGTTTTTGTGTCATCATTTCATGCCTCTTTGAAAGGATTTTTTCATTAAGATTTTATTTATTTATTTGAGAGAGACAGAGAGAGAAAGAGCACAAGCAGGGGGAGGGGCAGAGGGAAAGAGAGAAGCAGACTCACTGCGGGGCTCGACCCCAGGACCCTGGGATCATGACCTGAGCCAAAAGCAGATGCTTAACCAACTGAGCCACCCAGGTGCCCCTGAAAGGATTTGCTTGACACGTACCCTCAGGAAGATTTTTTCAGGACATCCCAGAAGAAAACTGGGGAGGAAGGTTTTATTCTGGTTTGTTTTATTTCAATTTATTTCTTAAATTAGAAC